AGATGACATAGAAGACATATATGATTTCTTAGGGATCGACGTCATCCTTTAGATCATCATCATCCATGTCTTCTTTCGTATAATAATATGTTTGCATCCTTAGTAATAATTACTAGTAGAATTACTATTGCTACCTAATTAAAAGAAAGAAAATGTATAATAAATAATTATTACTATATTAAAAAGAGATATTTTTAATAGCTAAAACTTAACGTAAGACTAAAAAAACTGAATGAATTTCAGAATTAAGTTTGGTAAAACTATTTTTAGATTGAATAAGATGAGTAAAAATTAGCTCATTAGTATTTGATGTTTTAATATCATTAGAGTTATTATCTTTTTCTATGTTAGAAAAGTTTGATTCAAGCTGTTATTAGACATTTGTAATTTATTTTATTAGTTGTATAACTTTTTTTTCTATAAAAATATTAGAAATTGATTCATTATTCTTCTTATTAGGAATATTCATAAATAATTTTAATCTAGTTAAATAGTAATCAATATATTCTTAGTTATGATGTTGTTTAGGATTTTATTTTTTATATTAGTAATTTCATCAGAAAAAAGTAAAAGTTTATTGTCAAGATTGTTAATTCTTTCTATCAAAAAACAAATAGTTTTTGCTATATCAGAAAAAACAGTTAAGGTATTATGAATATTATATTTTCCAATAAGTGATATTATATTATTATTAAATGATTTTGATTTAATAATATTTGTATAAGATATATTATTCTAAAATGTTGAATTAAGATAAAGATGAAAGGTCTATATTATTCAAGTTTGAAATGATCATAGAAAGGCTTATAAGGATTAAACAGGTTTCCTTTAGAATAATACTTAATTTCATCATACAAACTATATATTCTATACATAAAAATCAATACCATATATAATTGCTATATACCCATTTAGTGAAGAAGTTTTTAATAACATCAGATTTAAAAATAAGGATGTCTAATACTTTGATTGTGTGATTTTTATAGCATTGATCTTTTGTTATTTTAGCATTAAGATCTGTAATCAAAAAGATCAGATTATATTATATTTCTTATTCCTTTGTGATATCATATATTAAATTTGTCAAAATATCAAAATAAATGATGAATTTCCTATTTTTAGACAAATAGTTAGATCCTTAAAAACTAATAAAGTGAATAAAGAGTGTATTGATAAAATTTTATTTTTTTGCAATAGATTTTTCTTTATATCAGCTACGTTATCAGTTATGTAAAAATGTGTAGATGTAGTAATTATATTAAAATATTGATCATTCTTATTTTATTACTTGAAAAGACGCTTCAGCTTCATCTATTTTCTTCTGATCAAGTTTGCTCATTTTTTCCTTTAAAACTAAAAGTTATTTTCAATTAATTTGATTCACTAGTATTTTTTTATTGTTATGCATGTATTGAGCCTTTAACTGTTAAAGAAGTAGTTTGTATCAAAAGTTCTTTAGAATTAGAGATTAAAGATATAATATTATTAATATCTATTTCAGAAGGTTTAACTGAGTCTTCACCAGGTGTTTTCAAGAGTTTATAGTTAGTGAAACTTTGGTTAGAATGATATTTTCGATAACGGTATTAACTTTGTGAATGGAAGAAGTATCCATATTTTCTAAAAAAATATATTTTTTTTATTATTTTGTTCACTAATTTCTAATAAAGTTTGTTCGCTAGATTCTGAAGAAGAGCTCATAAATTGTACAGTGTTATTTATTTACTATTTTTGTTTTTATTATAAGTTTAAAAGGTATTTGAAGTATAATTTTTTATGCTAGTTTCGAGTATGTTGGGATCAGGTAAAAGTTTGTATCAATCTCATTCATTTTAGTTTACTAGATACTAAGATATCTCAAAAAAACTGTTTTTTCAATTTTTTTCAATATAACCCATAACCTGGACCTGACCTGACCGATGCTTTGGATCAGGTAAAATAGGATACTTGACCTCTACTAATAATCTTTGATAAAAAGAATCAAATAAATATTTATTAATATAACATTTTTAATTTAAAAAAAAAAATAAATAATATACTTACTAATATTTAGATTATCTAATATTATAGGTTAATTATATTAGTATTAGAATAAACAAATTTTTCTTTAAAAATTTTTTAAAGAATTATTAAAATTAATTTATTTAAAATAAAATTTTTATAATTTAATAAATCATTTTAAATTAGCGAAATCCTTATTAAAAAATTCTGCGAAATTTTGGAAACCTATATCAAAGCAAAGCTTAAAAAAAATGCGAAACTATATCAAAACCTTAGTAAAAAATTAGCGAAACTAAAGTTTAGACGTTTTTCCAAATCTAAAATGAATTTAAACAAGCAACCTTAATCATATCTTTATTTTAATGATATTTAAATTCAAAAAAATAAAATAAAATAAAACAATGACTAATTATAAACTTCAAGAAAAAAAAAGAAAATTATTATAAATAGATTTCATAGTAGCAACTAGTATTAAAATATTTTATTAGCAGTTAAAACATATTTTAAAATTAAGTATTCTAATAAAGAAATTGAATAAATCCATTTAGTGATAAAAGTGATAAACCAAGTATAAATGAGATTGGCAGTAAAGATAATAAGCAAAGGATGATGTTAGCAAGCGTTACTTGAGATCCTTTAAAGTTTGAAATTCAATCGTTAGGATACAAGTATTCAGCAGTAATAACAAAAAGAACGGCGGCAATGAGCCTTTAAGGCAATTATGTAAAAGCCTTAGATGAGGCTTAAGCGTAAAGGTTGTGGCGGAGTCGTCGGAATGATCTTGATTCCATCGGTTTTTTTTCCGTTAATAATGTACAAAAGGAGCAATGCAATTTAAATAAATAAATGAGCGAATGAACCATATCTAAGGAATCATCCAAGATTTTATTACGAAAGGATGAGTCAATTTCATATATTTAAGTATTTAATAATTCTTTTGCAAATAATCACTTGTATACGAATGATAAAAGGTGTAGGAATAATAAAACGTGCCCCAAAACATGTCGAAATTGTTGAAAATGCATATATTTTAAAATTCACAATCACCCCATCACTTGATGATAGGAAAAAACATGTTGAGATTATTAAACAACATGAATATTTTCATGCAGAGATTAAGAAAAAAGGATTAAATATTACCGTAAGATACGAATTTTATGAGTTAATTAACGCCATTTCATTTGAGATTAAAGAAGATGATTTGGAAAAGATTGTGGAAATAGTGGGAGTACAAAGTATTGAGCCTGTTGTAAGTGTTTAAATACTTACGACGTGCATCCAATTAAGATTTGATTGATTGATTGATTGATTGATTTTTTTAAAGCAAAAACACCAGATATTGCCAACTTCTTCAAATATGAAGGTTGAAATCGAATCAAAATATACCCAAATGTCATTTGATAAACGTGATTGGATACCAGATACACCGTTAAATCTTTCTAAAGATGCAAATTTGAATTCTATACATAAAATGATGGGGGTTGATTTGGTTCATAACAAATTAGGATACTATGGCAAAGGAATTAAAGTCGGAATCGTAGATACTGGTAAGTAAAGATTCAACGGTTCATATAAATTAATGGAAATTAATTTATGTACTTTTGATTAGGAATTGATTATCTGCATCCAGCGTTAGGGGGATGTTTCGGACCAGGGTGTAGAGTTGAATACGGATACAATTATTTAGAAGATACGTGGGATCCACGTGACGTATGTGTGGGGCACGGAACTCATATCGCAGGTTCGAATTTGATAAAATGGTTAAATGAATTTGATGAATTTACAGCCTAAAATGAAAGGAAATATATCCAGGGATAATTGGAGCAAATGATTCAATGCACAGTGGATTTATTGGAATAGCACCTCAAATTACATTTGGTGCTTATCGTACCATGGACTGTGAAGGGAAGGGCGAAGGAGATGTGGTAATGACAGCATTGCAAAGAGCTAAAGATGATGGAATGAATATAATTAATTTATCAATGGTAATAAACATAAAGGGACTATTCCTTGCTTTTTCTTTTTTTTTTGCGTGATTCTATCATAAATCTTCCTTTGCACTACTTATATGTGTAGGGAGGAACTACTTGGACCACAACGCCACTTTCAAAGATGATAGATGCATTGACGAGATCTGGAATCATTGTAGTTACAGCTAATGGAAATGTTGGAAATGAAGGGATTTTTGAATCAGTAGGAGAATTACTTGAAAGTGATGCTATTTCCGTAGGCTCGATTGATAATACTCATTATTTAACTTTTAAAGCTTATGATGTTTCAGACAAGAATTTTAGTATTGGTCCGTAGTTTTTTCTTTTTTCTCTTTTCGTTTTATTGATATAGTTAGAATTTAGACATTTTTCACTTATTTAGATTACGTTACTGTATCTGCGAGAGCATTTACTTTCTCTTCAGCCAAAGTCGAAATATTCCCAGATTATGAATGCCCAACAAATTTCCAACAGTATGAAAGCAAAGTAGTTCTAGTTACATTAGATACATGTCCTTTAGATTGCGTATGGGTAAATAAATATTAAATAAATATACGAGATTATTTCATTCAAAATGTTAACTTCTTTTTATTATAATAGATAGGAAATTTACAAAAATTTCAAGCATTAGGGATATTATTAGTAACAGAAATAACGCTTGGACCAACTTTAGCAAATTTTAATAACGCAAAAGTAACGATACCAACAGCTACAGTAACTCCTAATATAGCTCGATTAATTAAAGATAAGAAAAAAGAGAAAAGTAATTTAGAAATGGATTTCTCCGAAAAAACGGGATATTATATATCAAATCCTATTGGTTATTCAATGTCTTATTTTTCTTCTTGGGGTTTATCTAATGATTTAGAAATAAAGGTAAAAAAAAAAAAAACTTCTTTTCTTTTTTAAATTTATTGGCAAAATAATTGAGAATCATTGATTTGATTAATATTTAATTGTTTATTCATTTAGCCTGTAAGTAGTTCTTTAAATCAAAGAGATTTATGTTATTCTTGTGTTGAGATTTAATTTTATTATGATTTAGGAATTAGTAGCACCAGGAGGGATAATATTTTCAACTTACCCTATACACCTTGGAAGTTATGCGCAACTTTTAGGCACAAGCATGGTAGGTAAATAGAATAATCCTACGGATATTGAAAATTTCTAAAAAAATTTTTTTTTTTTGCTCAGTCAACAGCTTGTGTGGCAGGCGCATTAGCACTTTACATCGAAGCCAACAAATCGTCACGAAACGCACGCGACATGTTAAAACTTTATTCGAAGCCAATATACGATACCCAAAATGACGAAAAAGCATCAGTTCTCCAGCAAGGCGCAGGATTAATTAATATATATAACTCGATAATAAGTACAACGGTAGTGACACCCTTCAAAAAATCATCATTAAAGGGAACGCAATTATTCGATAATCAATATTTAGATATTCAAAATTATGGAAAGGAAGAAATTACTTATAGGCTTAAACATGTTCCTGCGATTTCCGTTAATGGGTATAATGGAACTAGGAGTGTACCAACAAAATATATGAAATTTAACCATTCTACTGCTATTGTACAATTTGAAAAAGATCAAGTTACCGTTCAGCCAGGGTGTAACGTTAAGGTTTTATTCACGATTTCACCACCAAATGATTTGGTTAAAGAACAACGGTGGTTTTATAGCGGATTTATTCAAGTGGAACCACAAGATCAATCTAGTTCACCAGTTACAATTCCATACGGTAAGAGAAATTGTTAAAAATTTTTTTTTTTTTTTTTCGAGAATCAATTTGTCAATAAGAATTTGTTTTTCTTTAAAAAATTTTCCTCCCTTGATTACTTTTATAGCCGGTTTCGCAGGAGATTTAAGATCACTTCCGATATTAGGACAACCAGAATTCCCACAAATACGAAAGTCAAATACCACAATATCTTCGGATACAACAACACCTACAACATTCACAATGAACAATTCAGAAAACAAACCAATAATATCCATAATAATTTCGACACCGACCAAACTTTTATTAATTCATGCTTTAAATTCTGATAAACAAATCATCGGATTATTACCAGGAGTAAACGATGTAAATTTAGTTGGTACTAATCAGTACCTTACTAAAACCAAATCATATCAAATATTATCTTATGAATGGGATGGTAATATTTTCAATTTAGCTGATGGCTTTACGAACGATTTAGGGGATGGGATTTATTATCTAAAAGTTAGTGCTTTGAAAATGTCTGGGAATTTTTTAAATAATCTGGATTGGGAATATTGGATTTCTACTCCTTTAAAAATTCAAAGAAAATAAAAAAAAAAAAATAAATTATCATCCCTTTTAAGGATTTGTAACGAAAGAGTCATTATTATTACATTCTAAATGGTTGGATCTACTTTTTGAAAATCACGTGCAAGACGATTTGAAAATCAATTGTTGGGGAAAATAAATAAAAAGGCCGTTTCAATTATCTTCTAAAAAATTTTCTCTTTGATCATGTCTAATTCTCATAATGACCCTCGTACATCCATTCCCAATAATTTTGGGGATGTGATGTCATCAAGAACCACTACATTACTATTACCCAATGAATTTTCTGGGTTAGAAAGGATTTGTTTAACAGCTAACGGAAATTTACAAAGGATATTAAGGTTGGTTTGAACATAATTCATTCTTTATCGTAATTAGTCATCGACGAATTTTCCAAATTGAAGAAATGTTTTTCGTTTTTTATTGGATTGTAACTTTTAGTAAAATCAATTTTTTAAATAGTTCTTGGTTTAATAAAACGGTTACAATAGATATTGTAAAAAATGATTCGGTTGACATTAAAATGGAAGCACAAAAGACCACTTTTACGATTGGAAACCTTAATTATAATGATGGTCATGTTAATAATTGTAATGAATTACCAATTTTAAAACGGTTTGACAGAGAAGTAAATCTTGTTTGTGAAGATAAAATTGTTTGTAATGCTAAAAGTGATGTTATAATTAGAGATAATATTATAGTGCAATTAATTGAACATGAAGGCGTTGGGATTGGTCAATTATTTAGGTAAGGTAAATATTGATTTTATTATTTTATTATTATTTTATTATTATTTATTTATTTTCTATTGGTGTCTTTTTCCTTTTTATGTCAAAAATAGGTATCTTGATAAGTTACCATCGTTTCATTTAAATTATGTTGGAAGAACTGAAAAAACTTGGTGGAGAGAATATTCTTTATATATTCCTGGCGTTGAATGTCACATTAAAGAAACATTTCCAAGTAATATGTTTGAACATTCCGAAGGAACAATAGATGGTGATGATAATGATGGAAGCACGAAAACTTGGAAAATAGTATAAAACTTAGATAATTTCCTTTTTTATTTTAAATCAATTAAATCAGTTTTATAAGATCAAACATGGTTAGATTCGCCGTTCCTACTACACCATATCCGACTTCTACTATTCTATATCGAGAAATAGAAGACGATATGTTCGGTCATATAATTAACTAGTTGCAGATGATCGGCCTTATGTGGCGTTCTCCTTTTTTGTTCAATAAATAAATATAAAAAAATGCATTGTGTTATTTTTATTACATATAAATATAACGACATGACGAAGAAAATAAAAAGTAAAAAATCATCTTTTCAACCGTTAAAATCTGTCATAATTAAAAAAAATTTTTTTTTTTTTCCACTTTCTTTTTATAAATGATTGGTAAATTATCGCACTCTAAAGATGCGAAAAAACCAATACAACAACCTCAAACCCTAGTTTTCGTAATTTTCATAATACTATTACTAATACTATCGGGCTTATGGTTTCAAAAAACTCCGATCGTTCCGATCGGAACGTCAAGTAAGTCATCACGTTTGCTTCTCTTTAAAATCAAATTATGATCAAGTTTGAATAGGATCTTATCTTAACTTTCTTCCCTATTATTATGATTTTCTTGATTTGATTTCAGATTTAGATGTTGATCATGTTCAATTACCAATGAACGAAACGGTGAACGAAACGGTAAACGAAACGGTACATGTTGATGAAGTCATGAATATCATAACTGGTGCAAGTAAAAATCACTTTTGTCCATTAAAAAGCTTTATTTATCATTTGAATGATACTTTAAAAGATTTAAATGTAAAAAAAAGAGTGTTTGTTTACGATCTGGGATTAACAAAGTATCAACACGATGAAATTAAAAAGTTAATGAAATTTGGATATTTTGATGAATTACGCGTTTTCAATTTTTCAGCATATCCATCATTTTGGAACATTAATATAGCGCGTGGTGAATATGCATGGAAACCTGGTATAGTCGCAGAAGTGGCTAAAGAATATCCAGGAATTGTTGCTTGGTTAGATTCTGGTACTTTACCCGAGAAAGCATTTTTTGAAAATTTGCCTTCTTTATTAGTTGAGTATGATGGACTTCTTTCCCCTAATTCACCCGGACTTATGAGAACATGGACGCATCCGGGTGTTTATGCTTATTATGGTGATGACGAAACGAAATATTATGACTTTCCGAGTTGTAATGCTGCTTCCGTGGTCTTTGATTCTAAAAAGGTTCAACATATTATTGATGATTGGTATTCATGCGCTCTGGTCAAAGATTGTATTGCACCTGTTGGAAGTAGTAGAACAAACCATCGCCAAGATCAAGCTATATTAACTTATTTGGCCGCACGTGAAGGACGTTATTGTTTTTTGGAACTAGAAGAATTATGGCTTCATACTCATCAGGATAGAAACTGTCAACAAATTATCACCCATTATGAGAAATTACATAAAGTCAAGAAAATATCACATAAAGTCAAAAAGAAATCACATAACGCCAAGAAGAAATCACATAAAGTCAAGATTAAAACTCATTAGTCATTTCTATAATTCTTTTTCACCATTTTACCTACTTGGAGATGAATTATTTTGTATATTAATCCAACGAACTTTATAAATTAGTTTGTTTTATGTAAGCACGGCACATTTTAGTGTTTTGTATAGTAGTTATTGGATATTTTCTTTATATGAACTTTATATATTAGAAAAATTAGAATTTATACAATCTTTTGTTAAGGTTAATATTTATTAAAATTTGATTTTAACTACTATTATTAATATGTTTTAATACTATTAAATCTTATTTTAATAAAGCAAATACATATATATATATATTAAATATTACAATCATTCATTAATTTATAAAATTATTAATTTATTTATTATAATAATTAATTTATTATAATAAAATAGCAATTTTAATTAAATTAAATTTAAATTGTTAGGCAAAAAAATTTTTTAAATATATATATATATAAATTAATCTTTATTTTCTCAAAAAGTGAGATATTTTTTAAAGGTATATTTTGTTAGTTTATGATTTATATATTTATAAGTATAGGTTTATATAAAATATATTATTTATATAAGCTTATATAAACCTATATAAACTTATAATTTATATGATTTTATAAAATAGATTTTATAAATTAAAAAGACTTATAATATTTTATATAAAAGTTTATAATAAAAAAAAGTAAATTTTAAATATAATTTTTTTTTAATAAAATAAATTTTAATTTAAAAAATTTTTTTAAAAATTTATTACTTTTTATCAATATTATAATTTTTTAGTTTTTAATAATTAAAAATTAAAAAAAATCAAAATTTAAAATTTAAAATTATTTTTAAAATCTAATATGATAAATAATTTTTAAAATATTATAATTATTAGTAAAATATTAGAATTTAATTCATTTTTAATTTTTAATACTTTAGATTTAATAGTTAATTTATTTATTATTTTTATTAAAATTCTAATATTATAAAAGATTCAAAAATATAAAAAAAAATTAATATAAATGATTTTATATAAATAATTTATTACTATTCTATCTTTTTAAATCTTTTAATATATTTGCTAAAATAAATAGATTAAATAAAGACAATTACTATTATTATTATATTTTTATAAATAAGTATTCAAATTATATATATTTTTTTATAAAGATCATACTTTTTATTAAAATAATAATTAATAATTAAATATTTTATTACATAAAAATATTTAAGTTTATAAATTTATTTTGCTATTATTAAAAAATAAATGTTATGAAATTATGATTAGAAAAATCTATTAAAATAATATATTAGAATTTATAATAATTACCATATATTTTTAAAATTATATACTTATTTTTTTAAAAATACTTAATTTTAAATAATTTTTAAATAAAATTTTTAAATTTGAAAAACTTATTATTTGAGTTTAATTTTATAAATAATTTATTTTACTATGTTAATTAAATATTTGATAATTATATAAATTAGTATTTAATTAGTATATAAAATTCACATACACAATATATACATATACATATTAAATTTTTTTATACACATATTACATAATATAAAATGTACATAAATAATTATTAAATATAGATAAATTATATATAAAAATGTATAAATTATTTATAAAAATTTTTTTTTTTTTTTTTTTTTTTTAAAGTTGCAGTACCGGTACAAGGGGTCATGTAAGCGGATATTTAAGGTGATTA